AATTAACACATCACCTTTCGGATTGTGTAGCTTTATATTCTATTAATAAAAGTAGATGATAGAACGGAGCGCTTACTTTTGCTCTATTGTGCTGCAAGTTTACATTGATTTCATGATTTACTAGGTTTATGTGCAATGTGTGCTTGCCCTTCCACCACTATTTTTCATATAGTAGCAGTAGCGGGACGTACAGTGAGGATTATTGTTGAAGATCACGCATTTTTATAGGCGTTGATGTAGAATCGGACAATACGTATTCGGTAGTAGAGGGGAAAGCGTAGAAATCACATATAGGAGAACGCTGATACGTCGTTGGTCAACAGCAATTGGCTCCCCATATATGTATTTAAATAATAAACTTATGAGCGAAACTTGACAACTGTTACTACGATTTCATTACTTTCTAGTTCTCAATTTGACAAAAATATAATTGTTTTATTTAAATTTAGTTGAATATTGTTTATAATTATGATGATAATAAGTAAATGGGAAACTTGACGTCTTTCGTTGATTTCACAACTTTCAGGTGCTTCTTTTCACAAGGCTATAATATTTATTATATTATTGCTACTTAAAATTATGAACGAAAGCAATGTAAGAAGGATTTTGTTGGAATAGGAACCAGACATCTCAAACTTGCTCATTTCTTTACCGTTTCATGAAAGTTTCGTTTAAACCGAACTTCATAGATAATATCTTTGATTTGTGAAGTCGTTTGATATGAAAATGAAACTCACTTGGAAGATGGTGACTTTCTTGAGGACCGACAGGTTCACGTGCAACGCCAGCTCGGTTTTCAGCTTGTCCGGCAGTAGACCGAGCGCGGTGTTAATGTCACCGCCGCCCTGTATCCTCCCCCGCGACCAGCTGTAGTCGTACCACCTGAGCACCCGCCGCTTCATCCCCCCGGGCACTTTGTGATGCCTCATGTAGGTCTTGGCTCCGTCCAGCAGCCTCTCGAACTCCAAACGATTAGCGTTCCGATTCGTAATCACGTTGCCAACTTGGCCGACGATCGTCGCGAATATGAACACCCCGATCAGGTAGCTGACTATCGTGAAGACGTACCTATGGATCAGTAAGCGAGAAAAAGAGACGATCAGTCCAAAGAGGATGTGATCAGTGTCCTCGGTTCATGGACGAGCGGCCCCCTCCGGAGCCTTTCTCCTCTTTCTCTCTCTTTTTTTTTTTTTTTATCAACCTCTCTCGCTCTTTCTTTCTCTCCAGTCTGCTTATCCTCCCTTCTTCCTTACTATTTAGTTATCTCGCCTGCTTCGTTTACCTTCTCCCTCTTGACTTATCACATTCGCTCGCTCACGAATCGTTCCTTATCATTCACAACGATTTCACGCTCAGAAAAATATCGTACTCAATCGCGATGTATAAAAATCTATAGTTCCAATTATGCTATCAATTATTTTAAATCACAATACGTTTTACGATGTGTCAGACTCAACGAGAGGATTATTCTTTTTGCTCGGTAGAACGATATTTCTCAAATATTGTCACAGAATTGGCAAATAATTCTTCACGAGTTTACGACATATTTTGATAAATCCGATTGCGCGTCTCTCGCACGTGGACCCGAACAAATCGAAACGTCTCACCACAAACGGGATTCACGACAGCTCAATCCGTGCACCCTTTGTGCTCGGTCCGAACGTCCTCGCGATGCGTACTTCTCTCAGCGATCTCTTCACCATCCTGCATCGTTTCTACCACGCGTGATCACTCATTCATTTTTATCCCAAATATCCGTGACACACGAATACACAGAGATGGGCCAGAAGCTTCGAAACGCTAATGCAATGTCTTAATTGGTGAAACGTAGCCAAAAAACGAGATACAAGAGACA